GGTTTCCAACAGAAGACTTCTGGGAGATATTTAAACCATAATAATGTCCTTCACCAAGAGAAGATCGTCTGATGCATACTGTTATTTTTTCCCAATTAACACTGTGTCCCACTGTTTTTCCTCAAGAGTTCAGAGAGATCTGTATCATTCTTTTTAACTGCTCATAATGACATTGAATGGATATGCTATAAATTGGCTATCTGTTTGCTATTTAAGGTTGTTTTCAGTAGTTATAAATAATTGTCCAATCATTGAGATCCCTGGAAGAGAAATTGCTAGAGCAGGGTACCCACATGCCAAATATATTTTGATATATATTGCTGATTGGATTCTAGAAAGATTTATATACTTATACCTCCTCCAATAGTATATGAAGTCCTTTTCTTTTCATGCCTACATCTCAGAAGACTATGAAGCAATTTTGGTATTTCCAGTCACTTCAATGACTATAATTATTTTGTTTTTCTTTCAATTTCCGTATTACTAGAGATTGAGCATCTTTCCTTATGTTTATTGAATGTTTGTATTCTTCTTTTACAGAATTTATTATTTTGGATCTTTGCCTATTTTAAAAATTATGATATTGCATTTTTTACTATTTAATGAGAACATTTTGTCTGCCAGATACACTGCTAATATTTTTCTTAGTGTGTTATTTATCTTTTAACTTTGTTTATAGGATCTTTTATAGTTCCTAAGTTTTAAATTTTTATGAAATTGATCTTGAAAACATAAAAATAAAAAAATGACTTCCTGTTGTAGAAGATTGCAAAAATGATCAGGTTTTTTTTTATTCCTTGGATGTGCATTCTTGGCAATTCAGTTTTGCTGCTTCCAACATTAAGAGATGCCTACATATTGGCCCATGGAATGGGGTAAAAATGGCAGTGTGCATCATTTGCTCTTTTTTTGAAGCACTACTTCTGCTATCTGAAAAATTCAGCTGGATTATTAGGAGATAAGACACACATGTCCAGTCACCTTCCCCTATGCCATTATCTAGCATGGGTTGATACAGAAGCAATGGTGGGAAAAATCATCCTAAATACACGGCTCGCAGGCCACCCACGAGGTGACTGCAGATTTATGAGTAAGACTTTCAAGATCAACCACAGCTGACCCAGATCAACAGAACTTCCCAGAGGACCCCAAGGCTTACAAGCTATAATAAATTATTGTAGTTTTAAAGTCCTAAGTTTTGGGGCAGTTTGCTATGAGACAGTAAATAATTGATTATCTCATATTTTCTTCCAACTCTGGGTTTTATTCTGGAATTCTAAAATTCTTAAGTCTTTAACTCATATAAAGCTTATTTTGTGCATGATGTGAGATGAGGGATCTTTATTTTATTTTTTGCTAAAACGGTCTTTATTTTTGTTTAAATGTATAACCAATTTTCTCAACATTGTTTGTTGAAATTTCTGTTGCCACTGATTTGAAGACTCATGGTTTTCATTAGCTAAATTCCCATATACACAAGGGTTGACTTTTGGACTCTCTAGTATGTTACACTGATTTATTTCCTTATTCCTGTGCCAATAACACAATGTTTAATTACTTAATTTTGGAGTATGATTTGGTATCTGGAGTCCTCCTAGGAAATAATGTGGGAAGCCAATTATAAGAATTGAAGGGGAGGGATAGTATCTTAAATATTTTTGTATCCCTCACACAATCCAGCTAACTTGTGGACATGGTGGTGTTGCTAAATGTTTTTTGAAAGAGGAAGAATTTGGTCTTCTAGTATAGTGGAAACTATGGCATTCACTATAATGGAAATGAATTTAAGAGCCTTATGACTTAAAAGAATGACATTTATAGTCATTATCTCTTGCTATCCTTTCAACTGTAAGTTGTAAGGCAGGCAATCTGAGAAAGGCTATGTCATCATATGATGGACGTGGAAGAAGAGAAGAGGAGGAGAAGGAGAAGGAGAAGAAGGAAAAGCTAACATTTACTGTTTATGATTCTGTGTTAATTTGCTTTATTTCATTCTCATAACAAAACTGTGAAGTTAGCACTATTTTTATACCCATTTTTCAGAAGAGAAGGTGAAATTTAAGAGACCCTAAGTAACTACATCAAAGTCATATGGTGAGTCAAAATTCTAAATTCATAAGAACACAGACACACACACACACACACACACACACACACACACACACAGCATTGAAAGAAAATACTCCTAAAGGTTAAGGGTGGTTTTCATTGCAATGTCCATTTTCTCCCTTAAACTTTTGCTCTTGTCCAGATTTTTTGCATAGTTTTCTTTCTCACACTTACCCTGGCTTGGTCAGTGCTACCAAGCCAAAGGGAGCCAGATCCCATATGAGAAATCTCCATTCTGCCATAGTGATTTCCCAGCCTGGGTTTCCATTTTTTTCCTATGGATAGTTTTCATTGAAATGTTCTGCTCTTGCACAGAATCTTACTTTTAGGCAACTCTGTAGTCCTATCTTTAAGCAAATAGACCCAGGTCATTGAAAGAATTTTATCCAAAGAAATATTACATATAATAAGCAGCTGTCCCAGAAGTTTGGAATGTACACAAGGGATTCATTCATTTTTATCTCTTTTTCCCTTTTCTGCTCCTAAGGCCTCTGTGTACTACAGAAGTATGGACAAGGGCCGGGGATTTAGCTCAGTGGTTCTGCCGCCTGCCTCACAAGCACAAGGACCCAAGTTCGATCCCCAGTACCCCCCCAAAAAAGTATGGACAAGTGTGAAGCTTAATGTGGCTGGATACACTTATTTTATTCCGATGGTAGAAAAGTAAGAATTGGTTTATGAGTATAGGGATAGAGAAGGTAACCTCTAAAAGAGAAAAATAGAATAGAACTCAACTGCAGTCCCTGATGTGCTCACACTTGTCAGCCTGTTGATGCCTCACCTGATTAGCTGCTTGGCAGTTTCCTTTGCTGTAGTCACCCAAGAACCTATTTATCCCCTCCCAGACCTTCTCTATCATGTGTCACAATCTCATCACACCGATACAAGTTTCCTACTCATCTCAAAATAGTCAGTCACTTATCCAGTGTCAATTCCCAAGCTTTAGCATTAATAAGAGTTATTTGGGCTTCAAAAATTAAGCTTAGAACTGCCTTATGATCCAGAATCCCACTATTGGATATGTATCCAAGGGAAATGAGGTCAGTATATCAAAGAGATACCTGCACTCCCTTGTTTATTGCTCCATTACTCACAAGAGCCAAGGTATGAAATCAATCAAGGTTCCCACAGACAGAGGAATGGATAAAGAAACTGGTTTTATATACAGTGATATATTATTCAGCAATAAAAAAGAATGAAATTCTTTTTGTGGCAACACACATGGAACCGGAAGACATAATACTAAATGAAATAATCCAGAAACAGAAAGACAAATACCGCATTTTCTCACTTAACATGAGGAAGCTAAGGAAGTTGATTTCATAAAAGTAGAGAATAGAATAGTGGTCACTAGAGGGTAGGAAGTATAGATATAAAAGGGATAACCAGTACCACAACACAGATAGAATAATTCTAGTGTTCTAAGCACAGTAGCGTGACTATAATTTATAATTTATTACATATTTTATGAAGAACTAGGAAAGAGGAGTTTGAAGTGCCCCAATAGAAGAGGTAAATGTTTAGGAGAAATACTAATGAACCTGATTTGATTGTTATACCTTGTGTACATGTATTGAATTGTCATGCTGTACACCATAAATATGTACATTTGTCATCTGTCAGTTAAAAAATCAGAATCATCCAAGAAGTATTGGTAATACAGATTCCTGGATTTTTGCTGTAGACACTGGGTTTAGTGAGTCAGTGATGAAGTACAGGGCTGTTGTTTTGTTTTGTTTTGCTTTGTTTTGTTTTGTTTTTGTGGTGCTGGAGATGAAACCCAGGCTCTTGAACATGCTAGGCAACCGCTCTACCACTGAGCCACATCCACAGCCCAGGACTCTGCTTTACAACAGAATAAACCCACAGGGGGGTTTTGTGCAAGTGATCCAGCAGCCACATTCAGAAAAAAACATTGCTTTTAAAAATGGTATAAATCCTTGTCCTACAGACCAGTAGTATCTGCAGTCTATGGAGCTTGTCAGAAATGCAGTATCACAGGTCCCACCTCTGACCTCCTGAGTTAGAAACTACATTTTAACAAAATTCCCAGATGACCCATGAGCATGTTAAATTCTGTGAAGCACTGGTTGAATCACATAGAAGAGCTATGTAGACCACATATTTTAGTAAGGGTCTTACCACAACTTTGAGGTGTCACATTTTATAGTTCTTATTGAGAAATACTATGTATCATCCAAAATTCCCCAGTTTGGTTTCCTTCTCTAAAATATGAAGATTTCTTCCTAAAATCTTATATTTTCCTTTTACAAAATCCTCTTGGAAGGTTGGATAGTCACAAGGAAAAGGACGTAGTATTTCCTGTCCAATATCATTTTCTTAACTGTACATTTTACACATTGGTCTATGTGCTCACTAAACTTGCACATTTGATTTGTATGCTTAAGGCAAGACATGGGAGTCATGTCTCAAACAAATATCTTGTCTTGTCTGATGAAGTCTGGAAGGTGATACTGGTGTCAAAGTGTTGGAACATCTCATCCGCAGGGAGGGACTTCAATCTGCAGCCAGGAAGAGCAAGAACATCTGCTCTGCTCATGATCCTTCCTGCTGGCCTGGCTGAGACAGCGGGGGCAGTCAGGATACAGCACTGGGTCTTCATAGGAAGATCCTGTTATGGTCATCAAAAGAAGTTGGCAGTAGAACCGAGTGTACGTCCTTGGGGAATAACTACAGAGTTATGAAAAAATGATTACCAATGAAATTGTGAGCTTACAAGGGCCCACAGACTGGCACATCCCTAGCTTTTTTTTTTTTCTAGTTTATTTTTACTTATTGGAAATAGTCTAAGAATATTCTGAAAAGAACATTTTCATAATGTGAAATAATCTGGAGGAATAAAAACACAGATCAGATCCAAAGGCACTGTGAACGCTTTATATATATTTTAATCAGCTGGTAACAATTTCTTAGAAACAAAACTTGAAGCAGAGCAGGGTGGTGCACGCCTATAATTCTAGCACTCTGGAGACTGAGGCAGGAGGATCGCTGTGAGTTCGAGACTAGCCTGGGCTACATAGTGAGTTCAAGGCTAGCCTGAACTATGTAGTGAGACCCTGTCTTAAAAAAAAAAATTAAAAATAAAACTTGTGTTTTAGCGTTTTGCTCCTCTTCTCCATTTAAAATCTTCCTAGCTGTCACCTAGTGGGATTCAGGGACCAACCTTGAGGCCACAGGTTTGAGCAGAAAGTGCTTCAGAGCTCACAATATGGGGGCTGAGCCACCTACTCACATGAAGTATTTGAGAAGATGCCACAGACATACACCTCTGGAACCTGACCCTTAATGAAGGGTTCCATAGTGTAACGTATTTCAGCTGCACCCATGAGACACTTGCTAATGCTCAGCTCATTCAAGGTCAGGAACTTTCCTTTATTGGAGTCCTGGCATGTGAGTCCTGTCAGAATCATGCAGTTCCCTTACCTCTGTGCCTATCATGAGCCCAAACCAGATCTTCAGATGCAGTCCTAGAAGTGGATTAGCACAGGCTTTGCATTTCATAGAAGCAACCTAATGTCAGGGGTTCACAGGGCTCATTTTGCATAGTTACCAGTAGTGCTGGGACTCCTGCCTGCCCGGCAGCTTCCCGGGGAGAAGACATTTCACCTCAGACACCGAGAGACCAGGAGGAGGTGGAGCCTTCAGGAGGTGGAGCCAGGGAGAAGGCGGAGCCTGTGAGAAGGTGGGGCCAGGAAGCCTTTGATCTCAAAATGTAAGAACCATTGAAAAATTTTAAGCAATAACGTGAGCTTATTAGCTGTGAAATGTCAAGCAAGGCACCTAATATTTTTGGCATTACCTGGAGGAGATAACATCTTTTCTACTTAAGGAAGAGCCTGGGAATTCTCAAGTGAGGTAATTGTCACAGAATGTCATAACTGCGATTATAGCAGAGTCCTTGTGTCAGCAAAGCCAAGGTTCAACCCTAACCAGCAATGCACCTATCTAGTGCCATTTCTTTATCTACATACACAAAATGTTTTATAAAATGAATTTTAAGATCCTTTCTAATACTAACACATTTTGATCCAGAGGTCAATTTTTAAAATAATTTATTTTTAATTAGTATACTGTTTTAAACATTTGCTTTTCATGATGGAATCAGGCCAGACAGCTGCACAGGAAAAATGATGTTTAAAAATACATTTTGTGAATAAAGTGTTTTTTTTCCCTTTTCCTGGTTCCTTTTGACCTGTGGATGTTGTGCGCGTGCGTGCGTGTGTATGTGTCCCTTGATGTGAAAAGTGAGCTGGATGCACCTTCATTCCTGGGGCTTTCTAAACACTGTGAATGCACCAATATCTGGCAGGGGTGGGTGCTGCAGGCTTTCACAGGCCAGGTTGAAAAATCCAGCCAAGGTGTCTGTTCTTGATGTGAACTTTAGTGACATAGCTAAACATATGAAGTACTGTTATAAAAAATTACGGAGCTGAGGATTTAGCTCAGTGGTGCTGCCACCTGCCTCACAAGCGCAAGGTCCTGAGTTCGATCCCCAGTACAAAAAAAGACAATTATGTATGCCTCCCTGGCCAAATATGATTAGGAGTCTTCAAAGATTCAGGAAAAGTCCAGTTGGAGTTCAAACAACCACATTTGCTCAAGTCTAACATGTGATTCCTATTGTTTCTATTAGGGAGATAGTTTAGGCTCATTTGGCAAACTCAGTTAATGACTAACTGGGTTAAGTGACTCAGATAAAATCCCCACATCTTGACTTCGGGTCAGCCTTGCCCTGCTTTTCTGAGGATATGAGGATATGTTTGATCTTACAATGGTACCTTTAGACTTTTGACTACTTTTATCTGAGTTTGAGTCATCTTTTGTCTCTTGTTGAAGTCTTTGTAAAATAAGGAGCAAATATCGCTTACCGCTTTAGGGTATAGTGTCAGTAGAACCCAGTATAAATGGCGTATATTATAAATGGCATACAAATGGTAATTCACTGGTTGAGCTGAATTCATCAGGGTTTGAACCCAAACCCCCTCATCTCCAGTCAGCTCACTCTGGTCCAGTTGTTCTTGCCTCTGGATGGAGCATTGTGGTCATCACCTGGGGATGGATAGGAAGAGAAGGAAAGGAGAGGAAGGAGGAAGTGGCATGGAGCTGCAATGTAGCCTCCATGGTCCTTGACTCATTCTCTGTGTTGTCCCAGAGGTGGTGAAGTGATCTAGCCCTTAGTCTTCCATATCAGTGAGCCACTGGCTGCTGCCTTCTCCAGGAAGGAGGGGAGGCCTCTGGTAGCCAAGAGCTGGGGCTCTGCAGGCTGCACTGCAGTAGCAGGGGAACAAGTCCTTCACCTGGTGTCAGAGCATCTCAAGTGCCTCATGGGGACCTGGAGAAAAAGGACATCACCCTAAGCTGCGGAGATATGTCTTGCCCTCTGCTCCCCCTGACAGATATGCAGGTGCACACTTGTCCTCGGTGGAATGAATTTGGGGTATCCTTAAAGACCTTGCCAAGGACCTCTGAGGCCACTGGCAGAGCCTCCCAGACTGGCTGCCTGCAGTTCCTGTGCAGGCCTGGAATTTAGAAGTTTGCTTCTCTGTAGGATCCCTTCCCCCTCCAGGTATGCATTTAGGATGGGAATTCTCTGATGATAACTCTTGGCTACACAATGTCTCTAGAGTCTGTGACCTGTTCCTTGGAAAATGGTGCATTTCAGACAGCTGGGAACCACTATGGTAGGTCTTAAAGCTGGTACATAAACTAAATTCCCATGGTGTGTTGTTTCTCTATCTTTGCTCTTTTCAAGAAACACATCATGAGGTCCTGATAAAACCACAGAAGTATAACACTTGCATGAAATAATAAATTATTACCAAGGCAAAGCCTTAAGAAACTCTCTAGTTTCACTAGCTCTTAGTTGACTTAAAAAATCACTAATTTTGGAGATCATACAGCTGAGTAATACATTATTAGTTTCCCACTGGCTTTGTGGTGGATAACACCTGTCCTGTGGGTTACAGTGACAGTTGCCTAGATTACTTCCTTGGGACCTGAAGGCCACTTTTGTAAAACAGCGACTTTTCGGTTGAGCCTGCAGAAATCCAGTGGGTGATTAAAATGGGATAAAAGGCTTGGCATCTCTCTTCCAAGTATGTCTGTCCTCTTTGCTGTTTTAACTTTGAGTCTGGTTCTGTTCAATTCTGCACGTAGACATATTGATCATTCAAATCTTTTTCCAGAAACTATGACACAGGGTGAACTTGACCTCTTGCCCATGGGAGATGGTATGTGTTTGAATTTTCTTTCTCCTCTTTTCTGCCCCTACCTTTGTGCTTCTTCAGAAGCCACAGCAGCCCAAACACCGCAAGCCCTTTAGCCTTATCCTAGGACCCAGATTGAAGGTCCAGATGTTTTGTACAGGATGATTGTGCCAGTAACATGAAAATTCAACAGCCTTTAGGACAAGTTGGCTATGACCACATGATGCCCCAAGTCCATCACGAGAAGAAGCATCTTAAGAACCTCACCCCTGGCCAGTGGAAATTACCAGACTCTACCATTAGCTCAAATCAATGAATCATAGCTGGGGACAGTGGCACACACCTGTGATCTCAGCGCTTGGGAGGCTGAGGTAGGTAGATTCAAGGGCAGCGTGGGCTTCATAGTGAGTTTAAGGTCAGCCTGAACTACACAGTGAGACCCTGTCTCAAAAAACAAAACAAAGCTACAACTTTCTGCTTTAGCTACAGAGTGATACTTTTAGGTATAACCCAAATACCAGTCCTCATGTCCATTTACTTTGGGGACTCATGCCAAGCCTTCCAAGTGGCTTGGAAGCTCTAAGCTTGAGTAGTAGCAAAGTGCCCTGTGCTGTCATCCTTGACCTGGGAAGAACAGAATGTGACAGCTGATGTTCCAAGAAACCCTGTCTTCAACCAGAATCTTTGATGTTCCTTCACATCTTATTTAGCCTGGAAGTGGGTAATGGGCTTTAGTTTGTGAAACATGTTTCAAAATGTGATAGTCTGTCTTTACATGGAGTAAGGTGAACCCTCTAGGTATGCACCTAGTGGGAGACGATCCCTTGAAAGGCCGTCGGCAATTGTCAGGAGGAGAGTTGGACCGGAATCTGCTGCTTGCCATTAGCTTTCACACAGCCATTTTTCCTTTAAGTCCTTTGGTTTTCAGCCAGAAACTTTAAGAGACCTGTGTGCATAAAAATAATTCAAGGATTCTACTAAAAATATATTTATCTCCCTTCAACATGGAAGTATGCTCAGCCTCATTTCTAAATAAGAACTACAGCAAGATACCACTGCCAGCTTGTCAAGTTGGCAAACATCTGGCACTCTGTTGACAACACAGGGGGAAACATTCTCATGCATGGTTGACATTGTCCTTATGGAGAGGCCTCTGGCAGGACCAACAGGATTGCAGATGCTACCCTTTGATTCAGAAACCCACTTCTGATAAGCTACTAGATACACTTGTACATATAGTAAATGACATATGCATAGTAAATAATATAACATCATATTTGTCTCATTGTTTATAATAGCAAATAGGTTGAGAATAACCCAAGACATTTCAAGCAAAAATGTCAATAAAATATCTATTGTATAAACCAAGAAGATATTGATTATTAAGCTATAGTAGATCCACACAATGGAATACTATACAGTATAAAAAAGAATGAGAATATCTACTCCTAATAATGAAGAGATTATTGGATGCAGTATAAGTGGAAAAAAACTGATAGGATATATATACATACATGTGCAAATATATACCTAGTTTTGTAAGAAAGGAGGAAATACCGAGTGAATTGTACCCTTCCAAAAGATATGTTCAAGTCCTAATCCCTGGTACCTGTGTACCCTGCCTTGTTTTGAAATAGTCTTCACTTATGCAATCCAGTTGAAATCTGATCATCCTGGATTAGGGTAGCCCCCAGTCCAGTAGAGGAAAATCTGGGTACAGAGACACATATGTGGTTCCAAACATACACACACACACACACACACACACACACACGCATACACAGACACACACAGATCACATGATTACAGAGTTTGAAGTGATGCTGCTACAAGCCAAGGAACTCCAGGGATTGTCACCAGCAGCCACCAATAGCTAAGAGGAGTGGGAAGGAGTCTTTTTTAGAACCTTCAGGAGGAGCACAGCCCTGCTGACAACTTGATTTTGAACTTCTGGATTCCAGAACTCTTAAGGAATAATTTCTGTCAGGACTGATAGGATCTGTGAATAAACACTCATGATGTCATAAGAGGAATCAGGGCATATTTTATGAATAACCATTTACAACCTGGTGCTGGTTGAAGCTATCTAATTCCACAGCCCTGGGTCTCTCCAGGTGATAAGGAGAGAGAAGAATAACTCCTGTCCCAAGAAGTTTATGTAGCATAATTGAGACATGGGGCCTGCATATGTGAAACATAATATTGAAAAGAATGAACACATGGAATTAGGTATGTTTCAGCTATGGTGAAGATGTCATGCTGGTAAATGTGTAACAACCTAGCTTTCCAAAACAAAATACCTGATTTGCATTGTTTGACACTTTTTGTGATGTAAATAATCCTGCCAGAGCCAATTCCAATCTCCTAGCACTATATCAGTGGCTGTGGAGCAGAAGAAGATGCTGAAGGTGGCTCTTGGGCACAGTATGAGCTAGTGGAGCCTGGCCCCAGCAGCACCCTCTGGAGGAAGAAGGGGACTTCGAGCAAGTTGTAGGATGGGGCAGATGGAGGAAGGGATGAGCCCCCTCCAGGAAGCAGCCTGAGTGAGGAACAGGTGAAGAAATGACAGTCCGGCCAAAGAGCAGATGGAGCCCGGTTCAGCCCTCAGCTAAGACACTTTTTGGCTGTATGATCTGAGCCTCAGTTTACTCACCTGTAACACAGTGCCATGACATCATTAATATTAAATATTAATATTAATACTCATAGATCCCATCAGTTCTGGCCCCTCCACCTGCTGTGCCATTTGTACCTAAAATTTGGTGAGTTAAAATAGAGCTTCTTATCCCTTCTAAATCTGCAAAAAGCCTTCCCAACCTTTAGTGCTAGCCATATCATCATTAGCTTTTCAGCCCTAGAGTTAGATTTGTCTTTTATTTTTTTCTCCCACCATCTGAATCAATTTTCTGTGACTACTTCAAACTACCATAAACTCAGTGACTTCAAACAACAGAAATTTATTCCCTAAGAGCTCTGGAATCCAGAAGTCCAAAATCAAGGTGTCAACAGGGCTGGGCTCCTTCTGAAGGCTCTTCTCATGGTCTTGTTGCTTGGTACGTAGCAGACACTTAAAAATGTTAAGCTGCCCTCATCAAGGAGCTGAATAATTTTGTTGCAGTTGTTTGTGTAGGGCTATACTGGTAGATAAAGCTTCAAAGATGGTTATACAAATGTATTTATATGTGTACACATACACACACACACAAATGCATGGACATATGTACATATACACACACATACACATAGTTTTCCATCGATTAGGCAAAGCTGCTTAGGCATGAAGAGATATTTAATTCTCCTTGAATGTAGGCTAGGAGTCCTGGAGATCATTACATCATTTCCTTTTACTTGTTCAAGGACACCTGAGGGGTAAGAGCCAGAGAGACTTAGGAGAGAAACATCCTGCCACAGCCTTTGAGGCTACAAACAACCACAGCAGGACCGGAAAAGGTGCTCACGTGAAGATGGGTTCCTTCTAGACTTGTTGGCAGAAGGGATTTTAGGTCAATGTGTATCATTCAGGAAACTACAGGGAAACACAAATCACTCTGCATTCTGCCAAGTTGGTGTGCAACCATTTCAGAAAGTGGAGCAAATTCCTGACACTGAACAAAAAAGAGTGTCTTTGGGGATATGACCAAATCAGGCAGGGGCATCTTGAATGTGTCCTTTCCTTCTGGCTGAGTCCATGGGTACAGAAAAAGAGTAACTCTGTGGTTTGGTTGTTTCTCATGTGTCAACTCAATTCAAAATTAAATTCTTTGGCTACAAACTCAGGCGCATACCTTGGCTCCTTCAGGACCAGGCTGATGAAGAGACTACCCCGAACCACTCATTACTGCTAGAAATCACCACTATGGAAACAATGATCATAATTTTATGTTTCAATGAGATCTATATTCCCTTGTGCATTCAAGGAATTTAAAGGTGTTTCTTACATTTGCATGGCTATTATGTCAAAATTTGTATACACCGGTTGCTTGTGAGAGGAAGCCAATATTGCTACAAGCCAAGAATGATCTGTGATGGCAAAAAAAATGGAAAACACCCAGGGCCCAGCCATTAAGGCCATTCACAGCAAGAGAAGCTGTAATGGTTCGAACAGGTAAGTGGATTTGCAAAGATGTTTAGAATCTGGGGAAGGGTAGACCAGGAAGTAGAATGATCTGAATATAGGTAGAGACCAAAAGTTGCAAACTCACAAGCCTGTGAGGAAGAGCAGTTACCATCTGGACAGGAAGCAGAGCAGGCTGTGTCCAGTCTGTGGCCTTGACACAAAGGTCACACAAAACAGGCGTTGGGACCATATGGAACTTCATGCCATGGGGTTTCCACCTAGGATGTATATGTGGGAGAAACCAGATAGGACTTGTAGGATGGGGTTGAGGCAGAGCTGGGTCAGCAACAGGGCACAGGAGGTCTGGGGAGAAGCTGACAAACCTGACAGATTGAAATACTTCTGCATTTTTTGTGCTGCTCTGCTGAAAGTGTTTGTTATTAGAATTTCTATTTAATCAAGTGATTCCTCTTTCTAGGTATCATCCTGAAAGTGTTAAGGACATCATATTACAGTGGTTCATGCATACCTGTGTTTATAGCAGCACAATTCGTAATTGCTAAACCTTGGAAAGAGACCGTGATGCAGGAAGTTCTGCTTTTGTGAGGCCACATGCTCCACATCCTCAGGAGTTCTGTGGGAGTAGAAGTGGGTCAGTGACTTAATATGGTGGATCAGTGGCCCTGGGGACTCTGCTCACGTCAACAGGGTCTCTTGTCTAATCTTATAACATCGCGTAATCTGCTTGCGTATAAATTTTCAAAATATTTCCTAATGATGGTTACTTTCAAGAAACATCTGTGATCAATACTTAGCAAGTAATTCTCCCCAATAAATTGTGTGCACCTAGAAGTGTATTCACCAGGCAAACAGAGGTTATGACTTTTAATGTTTTTCTTTTCTACTTTACATTCTTTCTTTTCGACCTTATGTTGTTTTCCCTGCCCTGTTTTGGCTCTTCAATGATTAAACTATGCTGATTTTATAAGTATGAATATGAGCTTCTGATTTAGACTCTTTACTAAAAAATTTTCCTGTGGCCACTTCAGTGCTGCCATAGGCAATGAACGGTTATCTTTTATTAAGGCGTTGTCTGCTTCTTTGAATCAGTCATAGCAACAACAGATGGGTTGTGACCAAAGGGGATATAGGGATACCACAAGTTATTACTCTCTTGACCGGTCTCCTCTTGCCTGTCAAGTGTGAGGTGAGGCATGGGATTTAGCACTGAACCAAAGAGTTTTAGGGCTGGGGATTTAGCTCAGTGGTTCCACCACCTGCCTCAGAAGCGCAAGGATCTGAGTTCAATTCCCAGTACCAAAAAAAAAAAAAAAGATTTACAGTCTTTCAGGGGGCTGGGGATTTAGCTTAGTGGTTTCACTGCCTGCTGCACAAGCTCAAGGACCCGAGTTCAATCCCCAGTACAAAAAAAAAAAATTATGATCCAAAGAGTTTTAGTCCTGGGCCCCAGGAACAATCAGCCCAACCAACCTTCTTTGATTTCCACTCCCGATTAGGTTCTTATTGTTCAGAATCTTAGCAAGAAGGGTAATGAAGAAAATTCAGAGAAAAAATGAAAGACTGGAAAATTGGAGTGATAAAACAGTAAAGGCCTAGGAATCATACTGAGGTTATAACACAGGCACTGTATTCAAAGCCTTAGTTTGCTTTGCTTAAAGTAGGAAAATCTATGTGGAAAATATCTTCAAGCTCTAGATCAGTTGAGGGGAAAAACTAAGCATCTGAAAATTTCTTATCCCTGATGAGTTCTTGTTAGAATGAGAAATTATTGACCTTAACTTATTTTAAAAGTACACATAATAACATTAATACAGTATTTGTTTATTAATTATCATCAGACCTTATGGTAAATGTGTCATACACATTAACTCATTAAATCTTCACAAAAATTCAATTACTTAGGTCCTACGTTTAGCTTAGATAAGGAAAGTACCATGCGATGAGGTTAAGTTGTTCACAATCACACACTAGTAAGTAATGGAGCTATAATATCAAAACTTCTCAAGTACCACAACGCTGCCTAACTTACATACAACCCCAAAGACACAGTACTTTTCTCACACATATTTTCATGGTTTTTTTTTTTTCCATCAGACGAAAGAGATTTTTTTATTTTGCACCTTGTCAGGTATTGTGGAAGATGCCAACTCTATCTTTAGTTGTTCTCTATTTCTGTTGCAGATTAGAAGGTTCTGGTAGGCAGGAGAGAATGATGTAATTATATATCTATGTTTATTGTAATATGATAGTAACAATTTACATCATTTTACTGAAATGCTAACTACCGTGGAATCTATCCCACTTCTAATGCCATTTGGTCAATGGTATCGGTTCTGTTGGGTAATGGCATGATAATCACCACATGGTGTCTCTCTTCAAGAGCCCATGGCAAGTGCCCTGGATCTGAACTCATCGGCCTAGTTTCCACGGCCAAAAAGTCACCTCCTTCCACTTCCAGGAGCTTTCGGCATGATTCTTCCCTCCTCTGCCTACTGTACTCAGGGTCTCCTGACTTGTTTCCGGTTTCCCACTGGACGGTCTTGTTCATATCGCTGCTTGGAGGCCATTCCTGACCTTCACCTCTTCTGCGTGGCACTGCCCTCCCACACCACTTCTCCCCATTCTCTCCCTGTCCTCCCTAACATCCCACAGTACTTTGTTGCCTTACTGTACATTTGCTCATCGATTATGTGGCCTTTCTTGTTCCCTTGCCAGTGCTTCTTAAACTTCGGTGGGCATAAGAATTTTCTATTTCCTCCCATAAAAAAGTAAAATTACTCCACAATTATGAAATTCCACCTCTGGGTATATATATATCCAAAGAATTGAAAGCAGAGCTTCAAAGAGACATTTGTAAACCCATGTTCATAGCAACATTGTTCACAGTTGACAAAAAGGAGCAATCCCAGTGTCCACCAATGGATGAGTGCATAGGCAAAGTGTGTCTGTATGTCAATGGAGTATCATGCAACCTTAAAAAGGAAGGAGATTCCGACACATGCTACAGCATGGGTGAACCTTGAGGACATTATGCCACATGAAGGGCACCTAGCAGAGTCAAGTACACAAAGACAGAAAGTAAAGGGCAGTTGCCAGGGAAAGGGAAAAGCATGAGTTATTTAATGCGTATGTAGTGTTTGTTTTGGAAGATAAGAAGACTTCTGGAGATTGGGTACACAACAATGTGAGTGTACAGTATTAAAAGTGGCATATTTTATGTTATCAATACTTTACCACAATTTAAAAAAAAGAATCATCTGGGAAACGAATATAAAACAAAGGTTTCTAAACCCACCTATGAAATTCCCATTTGGGATTTTTTTTTTTTTTTTTTTTTGGTCTGGGTGGGAGGAGCAGAGAAAGTCTCATCCTGATGATCACTCCCAGGTGCTTTAGAGGCAGGTAGATTTCAGGAAAAATTTGAAGGAGCTTCTAGTTTTTGTAGTATGTTAAGTATTGGATTTTGGGGGGGCACGTGGGATCAAGCTCAGGGCCTCGCACTTGTCAGGCAGGCACTGTGTCGCTGAGCTACATCGCCAGCCCTAAGTATTTTTTTAAGGCTGTACGTGCTTCTAAGTGAAAGGGAGGGAATTATATCTCCTAAATACCCAAATGCTCAACATTTAACTTTGATCCAAATTGATATTATGTGGGCTTTATATAGAAGGTAACTGAAGCTGAAAAACTGCATAAATTGCCCATGATTTATCACAAAGATAAAAGGTAGAAGAACTGAAGTTAAACTCTGACTGAGATGCTGCCATGTGTATACCACACCATTTCCTATTTTGGGGGGACCCAGGGAGACCAGACTTCCAGGTTTAGTTGACCTTGAAATTTGATTTCTGCCATGTGACTGATCTCTGGCAGATGCAGAAGAACTCCCAGACCTGGCCTTTAGCATCACCCCGCTCAGTCCCCTAGTCCTCCCTCATCCTTTCATGGCAACTCTGAAGGACCTGAGCTCCCAGCAGCATCCTGTAAGACAGACAGCAGCTTCCAGACCTGCCTCAGCCTGAAGGTGAGCAAGAAATGAATGTTGATTGAGTGAAACCACTCACAATGTATTTGTTACTGCAGCATGACCTGTTTCATCTGACTAAATCCATATCCGTGGCTACTGCCTGTGACAGTGACTACCTCTGAACTCCAGATCATAAATTTCTTTTGTATCTCTTGCAGCACCAACAATAATGCTAAGTTAATAGCAGCCATTCTGCTCAAAAATATTTTAGCACTGATGTGGTTTATAGGAGTGATTAAAATTCCAGGCTGAAAGAGAACGAGCTGGAAAAATCCCACTGCCCTGGGAGGTTGAAGCAACTCCAAGAAAATTTCAATTTCCTACTCCTACCTTCTGTCCCTAATACTTTTTCTCAACTTTCTGGTGTTATTTTTCTAAATCCTCAGAAAATAGAGTTTTAATTTTAGCAAACAAAATGAAAAACAAAACATGTAAGGAACAGGCTAATGATTATTTATAAATAAATTGTTGTTGCCAAATGAGACCAATGCTGAGCTCATGTAGGGCAAATTAGATACATTCCTAAATAAGCAAAACCAACTCAAGGCCATTGCCAAGCCAGCAGCTCTGATGAACACATGGCCTGAGACATGAAAATGGGAAATAGAAGGGGGAGACCTGTATTACCGCAAGTGGAAGCCATGAGAACAAACAAAGACAGCTTCCCAAACCCGAAACGCTCCAATTGATTATTGTGCAAACTGTCATCCTAGAATTGTATTTTCTTTTTGGTATTTGTGCAAATGGCAGAGATATCAGTGATTCTTGGTGTATGTTTTCTCCCTTTTCTTCAGTGATGTGGCCTTCATTACTTAGCTGGGCATATGGCCATACTAAATATAGACTATATTTCTAAGTCTTATTGCAGCTGTTGGTAGCCAAAGAACTGTTTTGGCTCATGGGATATAAGAGAAAGGATAGCCACATGTTCCAGGATAGGTCTTTAGGTCTGGGAATGGGTAGAGGTGAGGCAAGCCCTTCTTCTTTTATTCATGTAAGGTAGATATGATGGCTTCTGTGCCATCTTAGACCATGTGGATGAGGATGAGGAGCAGAGCATGAGGATGTGGGCCAGATTCTCAACTGGGTAGAACAGAAACTGGAGGTACCTGTACCCAGATAATCCTAGAGCTGCCATGAAAAGTATGAGCCACTTTATGCGCAGACATTTTGTGAGAGATGTGTGCACTCTGTACCCTTCAATAACATGAAAGCTGCCATAACTTGAGATTTTAAAGTTAGTGGCAATTTGGTACACTGTGCAGGTTTCTACCTTAGTTAAATGCCTTGTTTATTGTCTAAAATGCACACATTTGGTTCATAATGCTGACACAGGCAAGTGACGTAAATATGTTGATCTGTCGTTTACATTTTTTTTTGGTACTGGAGATCAAACTCAGCTCCTCGAGCTTGTGAGGCAGGTGGTGGATGTCGTTTACATTTTTAAAAAATGGTCAAGTGTTGGAAACTTTGTGTTCTGAATCTTTCCATTAAATATTTGCATTTGGAGAGGTGTAAATGCATGTTGAACTCATAGTCTTTCATGGCAGTGTATGCTTTAAGACCCTATCCAGATAAAAAAGAAATAGGGTTTGTGCTAAACCTAAAATCATGTGGAATGTTGAAACAAAGTACCTTTAATTTTAGTACAATTTATACTATTAGTACAAGTTGTTATTAGTACTATTAGTACTATTTGTTTGCTTTAATTATTATAAAGTTAATTCTCTGAAGACAAAAGATTAGTGAGTCAAATAGCGTCTGGGAGTTTTCAAATTCAAATTCAAATCTAAACACACATGCACACATGCCTGTGTGCACACACATGCACAATTTGTAAAGGTATTAGAGTCATATGTGTCTTTGATTAAATAATTGCAATTCAGCTGGAAGGTAAATGAAAAGGTTTAGGTTTGCAACAGCTTTACTTTACAAATTCAGAATGACAACTGATGCCAGCATAAAAGTCTTCAAGTCCACTTTACTGTGACAGCAATCACATGCTTTAGGAAAGAATAAATGTATGCATCTCATCCTGGTTTTTCCCTCTCACACAGGAACAGATCAATTAAATAAACAACTTAATTCAATGATCATTCCTTAAATGCCTACCTGTGTGGGCTCTATGTGAACTTTTACTGATATGAAGATCAATGAGACCTGGCCTGGGCAGCAAGAAGCACAGCCTGAGGGCAGCCACAGGATTGGGCAAACACGAGACAGTACACAGGAATTATTTTTGTCACATGGTCACATTATGACCCAGGTCCTGTGGAAGTTAATAGCTAATCATACCTGGGATGAGAGGAGACATCTAAGTCTTATGGGATGAACAGAATTTCTCAAGGCCTAGGGCAGTGGTGGCAAACCTATGGCACATGTGTTACTTGTTTTTCTTTTAGGACAAAACATGTTAATTTATGAGCTACTTTTTCTAAACTAAAACTTCAGTATTCAGGTTAAATTGCAGTGTTAGCACTTTGCAATAAATAAGTGGGTTTGGGGTTGCAGTTTGGGCACTCATCTCTAAAAGAGTGCCATCACTGGCATGCATAGGGGATGGAGGAGATGTTACAGAGAAAGAGTAGTAAGTGCAAAGGATGAATGAGTTAAATGTGCATGCACTTCTGTGAACAATGGTTCTGTAAACAATGGTTGGGACATAGCTGTGAGATCTCAACAGCCAATATTTGTGACAGCCATGAGAATTGTGTTTTGGTCTTTGAACATAGGATGTGGGCTGCACATGACAGCACACACCACCCACTCTGCCATTGAGACAGTTCATTTGTAAGCTCTTGAAATGTTAGAAAACACTGTTTTCTTTTTGAGACTAGTGAGTGGGTAGAACATATCACTTATAAATCTTTAAGAGCTCCTTACTGTGCTCCAGATAAAGTCCAACCCACAGTGGGCTCTTCAAGTCCATTCTTAACTTGACACTAACCTGCATTTCCAGACGCACCTTTCACCACACCCGCTGTCTCCCTGCTCCAATTGCAGCTGCAGTGCAGGATGTAGTGCCTTCCAGAGCAGATTCACACAGCTTTAGGTCCAAATATGCAGCCATTGAGCTGTTGTCTGGTTTCTTTCTCACCTTTGTAAGACTGAAAGCTCAGCAATAATCTTGTCCCTATGAGGCAGACAAGAAATATATTTACAACACTGCTCCTGAGCTGTGTAAACTCTCATGACATCTGCCATAATATATCTATAGAGGTGTATTATGAACCACCCAGGCATATCACATTAATCCCTCAGACCAGTGACAGTATCAGATGATAACATTATGTTATCACTATGGTAACTATGTAGTAAGAACTGGATAATACATTGGAAGTCTTTGTATGTGCCATAAAAGTGAGAGAGGAAAAATATCTGAAGATTCAGGAGACTTCCACCTCAGTGAAATGTTTGGGGATATGCATGAACATTCCACCAAATTAAAAGACAAATTATTGTAGTCATTACTTCTTAACACCAAAAAGGTAGCACCATTATTGCTCTGGAGCCACCATATTTCACAGTAGAGAATGCTGCATCAGCCATTCTCCAAGTGCTCTGGGAGGTGTAAACTTTGAATCAGGCCTAGACCAAGGAAGGGCTCCATGTAAATCCAAACAGAAGGGCAAGTGTCTCTTTCATTTAGGCCATTTGATCAAGCAGACACTATGGTACTAGAAGTATGTGAATTGGGAAAAGTCATTATGTAGAATTTATGCACACTCCAGTAGGAGAATCTCCATGTAGACCCTAGAATTCTAGACCAAAATCATGCCTTCTGTAGGAGAGAATTCTACAGCATTTGAGAACTACCTTTTGGTATACAACTTGTCTCTAGTAAAGATAAAGAATTTGACCATGAGATATCAAGTAACCATATGTTTAAAGCTGTCTATTATGAGCAAAGTCCTTTTAAACCTACGAAGCGAAAGGTTGGGTAGACTCAGTAGAAATCCATTGTAGGATGGAGTAGTTCATTCAAGACTGGGAATGAGCTTGGAAAAAAGTATAAGTAAACTGCCTTAGTTGGTGTCCCAGACCCCCAAATGACCTACTGGTATTACACAGTGCCTTTCTCTCAGTGAATGTCAGTACCTACATGTATGTATGTGGGGAGGGGTCCTTATGACCAAGCAATGAAGGAGAAAAGCCCCAGGGTTTTATTCAGTTATGGGTTGGCTTAGCATGTGGGTACAAGTCAAAAATGGACTGCTGGTGTGCCTTCTCAGATGTGGCAAGGAGAAGTCTTCCCAATTGTTAGGTCTTTGGGAAGGGTACCTGATCTCCAGTTTTGTGTGGAAGAAGAAGTGGCCTGATATAAGAAGCGGCTCTCAGGCAGTGGTAAATGCCTTAGCTGGCTTGTCTGAGATCCAGAAAGAGAAATATTGGAAGACTAAGGACAAGAGTATCCTAGGAGAGGTGTGAAGATGCACATATAGGAGTGACATCCCATGGAAAAGGTACTAACCAACCAAGCCATGCCTGATGACTACCTACTCTGGTGCTGGCATAATCGATAGTAGGATGGAAAACTGATATGTTAGTAGAGACTCACACTCACTAAGGCTAATCCAGCTATTGTGCTACTCAGTGTCCAACCTGCCAGCAAAAGACCTTCATTGAGTCTCTGATATAGTATTATGCCCCAACTTGGTGTGACACCTTAATTATACTGGAATGGGGGGCGGAGGTGCTAAGAGGGCACGAAGGGTCACGCTGCAGAGAAGGCCACCACGATGGATGATGGACGAGAAGGTGTCCAAGCGTTCATGGAATTATCGAGAATCCAAGTGAGTATTGAGTATCGGAATCCAAGTGAGTGCCTGGACCTGGACCACCAACCCCTGTGGTGAACAACCAAGGAATCAAGGTGAGCTGGTCCCAGCACCCGAAAGGAAGCTCCCCTGCTGCCATCCCAAGCTCCTAGGGCACAGAAGTTGAGCCGCGTGGGCACCAGAAGCACCCCCCCCACAGAAATGAGAAGACACATAAACAAGCCTCAAAAACATACTTCCAGATCACCTACAGCAACCCCAAAGGGAAACGAGATGGAACA